GTTAGGCCTTGGTTACTGGCTGGGGTTGATGTTTAGTTGCCAGCCAGCAGGCAAAACAAATGGTTTCCCTGGTGACAAGGAAGGTCTTCATCGCCTTGGATGCAGCAGTGGTGATGGACCAGATCTCCACATGGGAAATCCAACGGGGAAGAACAAATGCAGGAAGGTCTGCAGGTACTGATTGCTCCACACAGTGACAAGGAGGAGGCCATTCCCCACCAGGGTTAGAAGATCCATGGAGAAGAAAAGGCTCATTGTATGTGTGGTAATTCCTGGTTGCACTGACTTCTTCATTCCCTCACAATTACTTGTCCAATTCAAATGCCCACTGCTGATGGAAGCTACACAGTCACAGAAGGAGGAAAATGCTTTTAGGATCGTGGAGTCCAATTGTAAGCTGAACACTGCCCACTCCACCACTAACCCCTGTTCCCTCGTGCCACATCTAAGCTTTCAAAGATTTTCAGAGCAGAAATTTTTCCTAAGATCCAATCTTAACTTCCCTGGGTACAACTTGAGGCCATTTCCTCCTGTCCTGTCCCTTGTTACTTGGGAGAAGACACAACAGCCACCTCGCTACAACCTGTTTCCAGAAAATGATAAAGAGTGATAAGGTCTCCCCTGAATTTCTTCCAGGGAGTCCAAGACCTTGACATCCAGCACCTTCCTGCTCTACTCACCAAGTCTCCATCTCACGCAGAGCAAAGAGCAGGCTCTGAAACTGGGTTGCTCATCACTGGCCTGGAGCCACTAAACATCAAGGCTCTGCAGAGGAGATGCAGAGGAGCACCCTGGCAGGGCAGGACTCCAGCACACCTTGGAAGGACAGAGGACCCAGAGAGGGCACAGAGGGGGCATGACACGAAGGACCCAGTGCACTGATCTGAGAGTACACGTAGAGTAGCAATAGGGTCAACCCCCCAGCAGAAGCCCACTTGAGTGTAAGAGTGACCAGCACAGAGACGAGGTGGAAGCAAAAGACAAGGATGTGTCATGTCCCCTCCCATGGCAGTCCTTGGGCACGTGTACAAGAAGCACAAGAGCAGTGTCCATTTCCTGACAACTTTGCCAAAGACAAGACCACAGGAATGACCTTGGGGCAAATCACCTGCCCTCAAGCCATGCCAACAGCCCTTCATCTAAAACTTCTTCCTCTAATGGCATCTTTCTGCCCTACAAATCCTGGAGTCACTCATCCTGGCACTTAGAGAGATGGTGCTTCATGTAGGAAAGCACTTGGCATGTACCAGGAAATGAAAAGGCAGCAGTGCAGGAAACCAGGACACAGCCCCTACCATTAGCTGGGATGGTTCACAACTGACATGAGCTGGTCAGAAAATTACGACCTGCACAAAGGTGCCTGTGGGCCTGGGGCAGTGCAGGACTGCTATAAAAGGCAGCCCAAGTCTCTGCTCTCGCATCCACTTCTCTCACCTCCTTCTCCTCAGGAATCAGGTGAGTGGGAAGCCTCTTCTCCTTCTCCTCCTGCTTCAAGACCACGTCTTTCCTCACTGCAGGTCTCAGCTGATATGGGCTGTGTTAGCCCTGGGCTGGGAGCTGCTTCTGCTGGGAGAGGGAAGGGGAGAGAAGGTGTTGTGCAGAGAGAGGCTGGGACTTGGCTGAGGAGGCTGCTGGGCTTTGGGCTGGGCAGTGTCATGTGGTGCAGGAGGTGCCTTGTCTGCAGGGGGGTTGGGTGCAGGGCTGCTTCTCATGTGTGTCTGCTTTGTGCTTCTCCCTGCCCTGTGTGCCAGGTGCCCCTGTGAGCCAGAGACATGTCGTGCTGCCAGCCCTGCAACCCTTGCTGCCAGCCCTGCGGCCCGACCCCGCTGGCCAACAGCTGCAATGAGTGCTGTGTCAGGCAGTGCCAGAGCTCCACTGTTGCCATCCAGCCCTCCCCTGTGGTGGTGACCCTGCCCGGGCCCATCCTCAGCTCCTTCCCACAGAACACCGTGGTGGGATCCTCCACCTCCGCTGCCGTTGGCAGCATCCTCAGCTGTGACGGAGTGCCCATCAACTCCGGGGGCTTTGACCTCTCCTGCATCACCAACCGCTACAGGTGTCGGCCCTGCTAAAGCTGCTGGCAACGTCCTGGGGCAAGAACCTCCAAGACCTCACAACATGGGGCTGGACTGAAAACAGAACTCCGGCACATTGTGTTTCGAGCTTCATGATGATGTTTCCATCTCCCACTCTTCCATCTCTTTCCTTTGCTTTCTGTGTCTCCCCAGACCAGCCCAGAGGGATCTGTTGTCCTCCCTCCGTCTCCAGGGCAGGCAGATGGACACCCTGCAGGAGCTCCACTGCATCTTAGTGGCTGCTCCTTTTGCTCTCTGTGAGCCACCTCCTTTGCTTCTTTAGACTCATTAAAGTTGTTGTGCATCCAAGCTTGGGCCTCTGAGTCCTCATATCTTTTGTGGCAACTCTTCTGTCTGTTCATTGTAGAAATTGGTGAAATTATAGGTTGGAATTCCCTTGAGTAGATTTTGTTTACTGCGTTTTGTGATAGAGGCGTCAAAATCATCCCTGCTAACTGTACAGTGAAAGGGCTTTAGGGACACCATGGCTCAAAGGGTGGCAGCAGTGAGGATGGGAAACCACAATGTCTGGGGAAAGCCCACAACTTCATCTCTTCCTTCTCCTCTTCTCCATTGCCCTTTCTAGTGCCCATGAGCAGCACACATGGCCAATGGCAGATGACACCCATACCTCTCACAGTCCTTCAGGCCCTGGCAGGGCCCAGCTGCTCTCCAGACATCCAGGGCTGAGACAACTCTCCGGCTGGGATCAGTATCTGCCATGATCAGGCTACGCAGTGCAGTCTCCATTCCTTGAACCCAACACCCCCAGGGCCAACCACAGCTGAGCACCCAGTGCCCAAAGAGCCACTTTCTGGCCACCACACCTCCACTCACAGGCAGAGGGGAACTGGGCAGATGATGCATAGAGCAACCCCACAGCCACTTTGGCTCTCTGCAAGACAATTATCCCTTATTTCTTCATGGATTTATTTCAGGTGTCCATCTACCATGAATTGGAGCAAATGACTTTTCGCTTCCTCATTGATTCACGTTTGCGTATGGTTTTCAATGGCATCATTTTACACCTTGGACTTCAGCCCCAAGAAAAACTCTAAATCCTGGCATCCCTTGCTTATCCGTGGTCACCTGGCTGCAAAAAAAGGGACTCCAGAAGGCAAAGCTGGGCTCAGAATAATGGCTCAGGCACACAACACCCCATGGACCATGTGAAGTTCCCCTTGTGCTTTCCTGCACAGACACCATCCTTGTCCACCTCACTGGGCACTGGGCAGCTTCAGTGGTACAGGACGGGCACCAGCCCTATCCCAGCACAAACACTGAGAATGACCCTGCTCGTACTCATCTTCCCTGGCTCACCCAGTGCTCTGAGGCAGGGCCAGCCCCAGCTCTCTTCACACCCCAGTGCTTCTCACTTCCTGGCCAGGCTGTGCCTGGTCTTCCAAGAGCCTCTGGCCGTGGGAGATCTGTCCTCCAACACACCTTGCACTCCATGGGCAACCACATGGGAACACTGAGGGGCAGGGCTGTGCCCTCAGAGGAGTATTTCTTCTCCCCACCATGGGCTCTGCAGGGAACAGGACCAGTCTGGGCAGTTCCACTGTGTGGACCAGTACTCACACTAAGCCCAGGAAGGCACAGCCCAGAATGGATCCAAGCCACACTGTACTCTGGGCTTGGGAAATTGGACCCCAGGTACGCCAGGATGGAGCCCTTCCAAGTGCAGCAGAACTGGCCTCTGCAAGTGCTGGATAATCCATACATTCCTCTGGGTACCTCTATCTGCCACCTGAGACAGAAGTCTAATTGGTCCTGCTGACTCACCCATTGGTCGTTCTCATTTCTCTTGGTTGTGGCAAAAGGCTTCTAGAGAAGAAGTTCATTTCCTCGAGTCCCCCTGTGCTATTCTCTGTCTCCAGTGTATGTCTCTTTAGGTGATCAGTTCTAGGACATAAATAAGACATCAGCCAAGCACATCCCAATTTCTCCCGGGTATGGATATGTGTGTTCTCCACTGGGAATTCCATGGGCGAGTGAAGGGCAGGGCTGTGCAGAAGGGCCTGCAGTGGTGGGACAAAGGGGAACGGGGTTAAACTGGGAGACGGTAAGTTTAGATTAAATATTAGGAAGAAATTCTTCCCTGTGAGGGTGGTGATGCGCTGGAACAGGGTGCACGGAGAGCTTATGGATGCTCCATCCCTTCAAGTGTTCAGAGCAGGGTGGATGGGGCTTGGAGCAGCCTGGTCTAGTGAAACTATCCTTTCTCTTGACAGATGGCTGGGTTTAGATGATAAATATGATCCACTCTATCCCAAACCATTCTAGGACTCTTTGATCTGTGGGCTGTCCATTACAGATCACCTTTGTTCCCCAGGGTCTGTCTTTCTTTGGCTGCTGCTCTTGGGCATTGCTTTGGTCAAGGGATTCAGTCAGGAAGACACTGATGACAGACATCCATACATGGGAGGGATGTTTTCAATTAACAGTGAAGCCGTAAGTCATCTGTAAAAATGCAGTAAAAAGTTATTTATCACTGCATAGCCTGAGTGTGGCTGATACCAATCCCAAGCTGTGAATTACCTCAGCCCTGTATGTCTGCACAGAGGCTTTGCCTGCCTGTGCTGAGGGACTGTAGGAGGTACGTATCTCATCTGCCTGTGCTCCTGTGTGCTGGGCATGGACGCCAGACAATGGAATGGAGGGGAGGAGAAGGAGGAGACAAGGTTGTGGGCTGTCTCCAGGAAGTGTTCTTTTCCTTCTCCACTCCTGATAGCCTTTGGGGTCAGTGTTTCCCTGATGGCCTTTGTCCGTCAAGCAGTCAGGGATATTTTGGACAGCTCCAACAGAAAAGGTACAAAGTAAAATGCACTACAGGGACTCCCAAGGCCTGTTTTGTGCAGCATTTTCCCTGAGCACACTGCAAGAGTTGCCACAGAATAAAGGAGGACTTCGATGCCCAGGCTTGGAAGCACAACAGATTTATTGAGTTTAAGGAAGAAAAGGAGGTGGCTCACAATGAGCCCGAGGAACAGCCACTAAGATGCAGTGGAGCTCCTGCAGGTTGTCCATCTGCCTGCCTTGTAGAGGGAGGAAGGATAACAGAAAACAAAGGAAAGAGGTGGAAGAGCGGGAGAAGGAAACATCATCATGAAGCTCCAAATACAGCGTCTCAAAGTTCTGTTTTCAGTGCAGCATCCTGTTGTGAGGTCTTGGAGGATCTTGCCCCAGGACGTTGCCAGCAGCTTTAGCAGGGGGGACATCTGCCACGGTAGCAGTTGGTGATGCAGGAGAGGTCAAAGCCCCCGGAGTTGATGGGCACTCCATTACAGCTGAGGATGCTGCCAACGGCAGCGGAGGTGGAGGATCCCACCACGGTGTTCTGTGGGAAGGAGCTGAGGATGGGCCCGGGCAAGGTCACCACAACAGCAGAGGGCTGGATGGCAACAGTGGAGCTCTGGCACTGCCTGACACAGCACTCATTGCAGCTGTTGGCCAGCGGGGTCGGGCCGCAGGGCTGGCAGCAAGGGTTGCAGGGCTGGCAGCACGACATGTCTCTGGCTCACAGGGGCACCTGGCACACAGGGCAGGGAGAAGCACAAAGCAGACACACATGAGAAGCAGCCCTGCACCCAACCCCCCTGCAGACAAGGCACCTCCTGCACCACATGACACTGCCCAGCCCAAAGCCCAGCAGCCTCCTCAGCCAAGTCCCAGCCTCTCTCTGCACAACACCTTCTCTCCCCTTCCCTCTCCCAGCAGAAGCAGCTCCCAGCCCGGGGCTAACACAGCCCATATCAGCTGAGACCTGCAGTGAGGAAAGACGTGGTCTTGAAGCAGGAGGAGAAGGAGAAGAGGCTTCCCACTCACCTGATTCCTGAGGAGAAGGAGGTGAGAGAAGTGGATGCGAGAGCAGAGACTTGGGCTGCCTTTTATAGCAGTCCTGCACTGCCTCAGGCCCACAGGCACCTTTGTGCAAGTCATAATTTTCTGACCAGCTCATGTCAGTTGTGAACCATCCCAGCTAATGGTAGGGGCTGTGTCCTGGTTTCCTGAACTGATACCCTTTCATTTCCTGCCTAATTCCGCTTGCCCTCCTATATGAAAGCTTATGGAAGTGCCAGGATGAGTTGGTCAAGGATTTGCAGGGCAGAAAGATGTCAGCACAGGCAGAAGGCTCAGATCAAGGCTGGTGGCATCTCTTGTTTACAGGTGATGTTCTTCTGGGTCATTTCTGTGTGGTTTATTTGTGGCAAAGATGACAGGAAATGGGCACCACTTTTGTGCTTTTTGCCCATATGCCCCAAGACTGCTGTGTGAGTGGCCATGAGTGCACATGTGAGGGATGCTGGACTTTTTGTCCTTCTTCCACCCTCCTCACTCTCTTACATATGCTGTCTGTGTCTGCTCAGCCACCCAAGTTGCCACCTGTAACCCTCCCTCCCTCTACAGGGCAGGCAGATGGACACCCTGCACGAGCTCCTCTGCATCTTGGTGGCTGCTCCTGGGGTTCTCTGAGCCACCTCCTTCTCTTCCTTAATCTCATTAGGTTTGTTGCACGTCCAAGCCTGGGCCTCTGAACCCTCCTTTGTTCTGTGGCAACTCCCCCAGTCTCCTCTGGGATGAAGTTTGACAAAGCAGAGGGTGGGCCTCCTTGCAGGGCAGATTTCCCTTTGTGCCCCCTCCCTTGGAGGTGGGTGGAGACATCCCTGGCTACTCCATGGCCAATGGCCATCAGGGAGAGCCTGACTCCAACGATTGGCAGCAGTGGGGATGGGAAAAAACAATGCCTTGGACCAGCTCACAACCTCATCTCTTCCTTCTCCTCCCCTCCATCACCCAGTGTAGGGTCCATGACCAGCCACAGGAACTGATGACATGTGCACCTCAGGTGGTCCTTCAGTGCCTGGCAGGGCCCAGGGGTTGTTGATACAGTCAGGCCTCGGGGGATTCAGCAGTTAGGATTGGTAACAGTCACACTCCAACTGTGCCATGAAGTCCCTATTTCTTCGAAGCCAACATATCCAAAAGGCCCAGATGGCTTGCGTCAGGTGTCCATCTTCCCTGTGCACGTGACCTGTAGCCTCACTATTGATGACAACATCTATCCCTTTTTATTAAGACTTTCTCCTCAGACCCTGGCCTTCAACCTTGAATAATGCTGTAATTTGTGTCATCCCTCAGATATCTGTGGTCTCCTGTGTGCAGAAGAGGAACTCTTGAAGGCACTGCTGGGCTCAAAATAACAGCTCAGGCACAGAGTGTCCCGTGAAGCCTGTGAGGTTCCACACATGCTCCTGCTGCCCTCAGTTCAAGGCAGAGACACCACCTTTATCCACATGACTGGCCACTGGGCACATCTTGTGCTGTCCAGAGACCAAGGCTTCACTTTCACCTTCAGCTAGTGAGACCAGCTGCCCAAGCACTGGTGTCTGTTGCCAGCACCCAAATCATCTCCAGTTCCTCTTCACTGTGCCTGTGACCCCCACAGACAAGCCCTGCACATGGGTCCTTGTTCCGAGAAAGTCTCGGTCCTCTTGGCAGACCCCACTGAAGTACTAAAATACTGGGAAGAGGTCCTCTCCAAGTCTCCTGTTCTCCAGGGAGAAAAAACCACACTCCTTCAGTCTTTCCTCACAGCACAGGTTCTCCAGCTCTCTGGTCATCTTTCACAGGTTTTGGGATGGGATTATGTTTTGAGTTTTTGCTCAAAACAGAGTTGATAATGCAGAGATGTTTCTGCTATTGCTAAGTTTGCAGAGAGCCAAGGCCTTTTCAGCTTGTCCTGCTGCCACGCTGGCAAGGAAGTTGGGGGTACATGGGAGGCTGGGAGAAGACACAGCCAAGACAGGTGACCCAAAGTGATCCAAGGGATATTTCAGACCATGTGGCACTATACTCAGTATATAAAGGTGTGGGAAGAAGGAGGAGGGGGGGACATTTGGAGACATGGTGGTTTTGTCATCAGAATGGGGCCATGCTCTTCTGGAGATGGCTGAACACCTGCCTGCTCATGGGGAGCAGAGAATTAATTCTTTGTCTTTCTTTGCTTCTGTACACAGATTGTGCTTTCCCTATTAAACTGTCTTTATCTCAACCCACAGATTTTCTAGCTTTTCCCCCTTCCAATTCTATCCTCAATCCTGTTGGTGGGGGAGTGAGCGAGTGGCTGTTAGGCCTTGGTTACTGGCTGGGGTTGATGTTTAGTTGCCAGCCAGCAGGCAAAACAAATGGTTTCCCTGGTGACAAGGAAGGTCTTCATCGCCTTGGATGCAGCAGTGGTGATGGACCAGATCTCCACATGGGAAATCCAACGGGGAAGAACAAATGCAGGAAGGTCTGCAGGTACTGATTGCTCCACACAGTGACAAGGAGGAGGCCATTCCCCACCAGGGTTAGAAGATCCATGGAGAAGAAAAGGCTCATTGTATGTGTGGTAATTCCTGGTTGCACTGACTTCTTCATTCCCTCACAATTACTTGTCCAATTCAAATGCCCACTGCTGATGGAAGCTACACAGTCACAGAAGGAGGAAAATGCTTTTAGGATCGTGGAGTCCAATTGTAAGCTGAACACTGCCCACTCCACCACTAACCCCTGTTCCCTCGTGCCACATCTAAGCTTTCAAAGATTTTCAGAGCAGAAATTTTTCCTAAGATCCAATCTTAACTTCCCTGGGTACAACTTGAGGCCATTTCCTCCTGTCCTGTCCCTTGTTACTTGGGAGAAGACACAACAGCCACCTCGCTACAACCTGTTTCCAGAAAATGATAAAGAGTGATAAGGTCTCCCCTGAATTTCTTCCAGGGAGTCCAAGACCTTGACATCCAGCACCTTCCTGCTCTACTCACCAAGTCTCCATCTCACGCAGAGCAAAGAGCAGGCTCTGAAACTGGGTTGCTCATCACTGGCCTGGAGCCACTAAACATCAAGGCTCTGCAGAGGAGATGCAGAGGAGCACCCTGGCAGGGCAGGACTCCAGCACACCTTGGAAGGACAGAGGACCCAGAGAGGGCACAGAGGGGGCATGACACGAAGGACCCAGTGCACTGATCTGAGAGTACACGTAGAGTAGCAATAGGGTCAACCCCCCAGCAGAAGCCCACTTGAGTGTAAGAGTGACCAGCACAGAGACGAGGTGGAAGCAAAAGACAAGGATGTGTCATGTCCCCTCCCATGGCAGTCCTTGGGCACGTGTACAAGAAGCACAAGAGCAGTGTCCATTTCCTGACAACTTTGCCAAAGACAAGACCACAGGAATGACCTTGGGGCAAATCACCTGCCCTCAAGCCATGCCAACAGCCCTTCATCTAAAACTTCTTCCTCTAATGGCATCTTTCTGCCCTACAAATCCTGGAGTCACTCATCCTGGCACTTAGAGAGATGGTGCTTCATGTAGGAAAGCACTTGGCATGTACCAGGAAATGAAAAGGCAGCAGTGCAGGAAACCAGGACACAGCCCCTACCATTAGCTGGGATGGTTCACAACTGACATGAGCTGGTCAGAAAATTACGACCTGCACAAAGGTGCCTGTGGGCCTGGGGCAGTGCAGGACTGCTATAAAAGGCAGCCCAAGTCTCTGCTCTCGCATCCACTTCTCTCACCTCCTTCTCCTCAGGAATCAGGTGAGTGGGAAGCCTCTTCTCCTTCTCCTCCTGCTTCAAGACCACGTCTTTCCTCACTGCAGGTCTCAGCTGATATGGGCTGTGCTAGGCCAGGGCTGGGAGCTGCTTCTGCTGGGAGAGGGAAGGGGAGAGAAGGTGTTGTGCAGAGAGAGGCTGGGACTTGGCTGAGGAGGCTGCTGGGCTTTGGGCTGGGCAGTGTCATGTGGTGCAGGAGGTGCCTTGTCTGCAGGGGGGTTGGGCGCAGGGCCGCTTCTCATGTGTGTCTGCTTTGTGCTTCTCCCTGCCCTGTGTGCCAGGTGCCCCTGTGAGCCAGAGACATGTCGTGCTGCCAGCCCTGCAACCCTTGCTGCCAGCCCTGCGGCCCGACCCCGCTGGCCAACAGCTGCAATGAGTGCTGTGTCAGGCAGTGCCAGGACTCCGTCGTTGCCATCCAGCCCTCTGCTGTGGTGGTGACCCTGCCCGGGCCCATCCTCAGCTCCTTCCCACAGAACACCGTGGTGGGATCCTCCACCTCCGCTGCCGTTGGCAGCATCCTCAGCTGTGACGGAGTGCCCATCAACTCCGGGGGCTTTGACCTCTCCTGCATCACCAACCGCTACAGGTGTCGGCCCTGCTAAAGCTGCTGGCAACGTCCTGGGGCAAGAACCTCCAAGACCTCACAACATGGGGCTGGACTGAAAACAGAACTCCGGCACATTGTGTTTCGAGCTTCATGATGATGTTTCCATCTCCCACTCTTCCATCTCTTTCCTTTGCTTTCTGTGTCTCCCCAGACCAGCCCAGAGGGATCTGTTGTCCTCCCTCCGTCTCCAGGGCAGGCAGATGGACACCCTGCAGGAGCTCCACTGCATCTTAGTGGCTGCTCCTTTTGCTCTCTGTGAGCCACCTCCTTTGCTTCTTTAGACTCATTAAAGTTGTTGTGCATCCAAGCTTGGGCCTCTGAGTCCTCATATCTTTTGTGGCAACTCTTCTGTCTGTTCATTGTAGAAATTGGTGAAATTATAGGTTGGAATTCCCTTGAGTAGATTTTGTTTACTGCGTTTTGTGATAGAGGCGTCAAAATCATCCCTGCTAACTGTACAGTGAAAGGGCTTTAGGGACACCATGGCTCAAAGGGTGGCAGCAGTGAGGATGGGAAACCACAATGTCTGGGGAAAGCCCACAACTTCATCTCTTCCTTCTCCTCTTCTCCATTGCCCTTTCTAGTGCCCATGAGCAGCACACATGGCCAATGGCAGATGACACCCATACCTCTCACAGTCCTTCAGGCCCTGGCAGGGCCCAGCTGCTCTCCAGACATCCAGGGCTGAGACAACTCTCCGGCTGGGATCAGTATCTGCCATGATCAGGCTACGCAGTGCAGTCTCCATTCCTTGAACCCAACACCCCCAGGGCCAACCACAGCTGAGCACCCAGTGCCCAAAGAGCCACTTTCTGGCCACCACACCTCCACTCACAGGCAGAGGGGAACTGGGCAGATGATGCATAGAGCAACCCCACAGCCACTTTGGCTCTCTGCAAGACAATTATCCCTTATTTCTTCATGGATTTATTTCAGGTGTCCATCTACCATGAATTGGAGCAAATGACTTTTCGCTTCCTCATTGATTCACGTTTGCGTATGGTTTTCAATGGCATCATTTTACACCTTGGACTTCAGCCCCAAGAAAAACTCTAAATCCTGGCATCCCTTGCTTATCCGTGGTCACCTGGCTGCAAAAAAAGGGACTCCAGAAGGCAAAGCTGGGCTCAGAATAATGGCTCAGGCACACAACACCCCATGGACCATGTGAAGTTCCCCTTGTGCTTTCCTGCACAGACACCATCCTTGTCCACCTCACTGGGCACTGGGCAGCTTCAGTGGTACAGGACGGGCACCAGCCCTATCCCAGCACAAACACTGAGAATGACCCTGCTCGTACTCATCTTCCCTGGCTCACCCAGTGCTCTGAGGCAGGGCCAGCCCCAGCTCTCTTCACACCCCAGTGCTTCTCACTTCCTGGCCAGGCTGTGCCTGGTCTTCCAAGAGCCTCTGGCCGTGGGAGATCTGTCCTCCAACACACCTTGCACTCCATGGGCAACCACATGGGAACACTGAGGGGCAGGGCTGTGCCCTCAGAGGAGTATTTCTTCTCCCCACCATGGGCTCTGCAGGGAACAGGACCAGTCTGGGCAGTTCCACTGTGTGGACCAGTACTCACACTAAGCCCAGGAAGGCACAGCCCAGAATGGATCCAAGCCACACTGTACTCTGGGCTTGGGAAATTGGACCCCAGGTACGCCAGGATGGAGCCCTTCCAAGTGCAGCAGAACTGGCCTCTGCAAGTGCTGGATAATCCATACATTCCTCTGGGTACCTCTATCTGCCACCTGAGACAGAAGTCTAATTGGTCCTGCTGACTCACCCATTGGTCGTTCTCATTTCTCTTGGTTGTGGCAAAAGGCTTCTAGAGAAGAAGTTCATTTCCTCGAGTCCCCCTGTGCTATTCTCTGTCTCCAGTGTATGTCTCTTTAGGTGATCAGTTCTAGGACATAAATAAGACATCAGCCAAGCACATCCCAATTTCTCCCGGGTATGGATATGTGTGTTCTCCACTGGGAATTCCATGGGCGAGTGAAGGGCAGGGC